GGGGGGGCACAAGGAGACGATGAGAGTGGTACGAAAGAAAGAGAAGGAGGCCTAAAATCCGTTGGAGAAGGAGAAAAAGCTTAATGAGGGTAAATTCAGCACTAGTGGTAGACGGTGCTGCTTTTCTGGGACAGCATGGCTAATCATATTGAGTCAGGAGGTTGATTGAATGACTCAATTTCATCAGTGAATGCAACAGACAGTTGGGCTGTAACTGTTGCCTTTTGTATTTGGTTGAAAAGTATTTTTTTTTCTTTTACATGGGTTCCTTTGTAAAGTTAAGATGTATTTAGGGTGAGAGATTTCATGGCATTAGTGTAGCTGAAAGAAGGCTTGTGATAGGCGTACAAAACGTAATTTTACTGTGCGGTGTTCGCAAATCAGTCACTAGATAATGTCATCTTTCCACCATTCCACAGATCTGGAAGCTTCACTCAGTGTAAAATGGCTTTTGTCTCTATATAGACCAGTTCATTCACAACCATTTAGTTGCCGCATTTCAGCTGGATATTTCTGTCACACTTAAACCTCCCAGGCATTCTCTCATGCCAAAGACTCGAATGTTAGCCCCAAGCACCGATAAGACATATTTCACTGCTACGGTGTGGTCTACAGGATTAAACCTCCACAAAGAGCCAGTAACATTGTAAGGAGGCGCACTCTAATAGGCATGACTTCATTAAATTCAATCTCATGTCTTGAGAGGAATGTGCCTACAGTGATGGCTGCCATTATCCTCACAGAATGGGGATCTCTATTGCCTGCCTCTCAGAAAATCATCAAGCAAAGCCAAAGATAAAAATGCTGAGACATGTTATCAGTATATTTCAGTCTATCTTTACTCTCTGTTCAGGCTCAAAGAAAATTAAATGTGTTTCCACCTCATGATTGCTTGCTGTACTTCCTTTCTACATTTGTATCACTACTGTTGACCCAGTAACTGCTGCCTTCCCTCCATTTAGGAACTGTCATCCTGAAATAATTCACTTGCATGGGCCATTTTCCCATCACAGACACATAAATTATGGTGTTTTGCTTTTTGTCAATCGCCATAATGTGGAGGCCATTCAGATGTTAAACATGATTGGTTTTTCGACCTCATTGACACAGTGGATGGAGCTGTCAGTCACTGATTTAAGTGCTGTTCCAATTGGCTGGATTAAACACCTGACGGAAAAGTGGGGGATGGAGAGAGAAGGCGTCTGCATTGATGGGATGAGTTTAAAAGGTCAAAACAGGGCACAAGTTGAAGCTCATTGAGAGGAAGTCCATTGTTGGTATCGCAATAAGAAGAAATTAGAGCGCAAGGCTGAAGGTTTTCAGTGGCAGAACAGTGGAGCAGATGGACAGGAAAGCAGTTGTCATGGCAGTGCTGAAGCTTTACCTTGATTATTGAAAGGTCAGAGTTGAGTGGTAAAGGGATCCAAGGAGGTTTGCTCTTTGTTCCCTGTTATGATCGTCTGATTTGAGCCTAATGTAATGAGACTCCTAGAGGGCTCAGGGTTGTTGATGTCGACTGCCTTATTATTTCTTGTGACATTTGTGCCAAGACTGATCACCTCCTGTCCTGTGTTTGTTGGGTGGAAGGGGCAGTATAGAAAGAAAAATGTCTAAAAATAATGAGTAGAGGGAGAGAAGAGGTGTGAAAAACTGTATGTACATTTCTGCACCAACCGTTATCTACTATTGAATGCCCCGCAACCTATTCTAAAGCCTCCATGTTATCTGGGTTATCTGGCCACAGCAGCCAACATCACCTAATCTTCCACCCATTTCAGCTTACTGTCTCATGAGCTGCATGTCTCACAGATTGATGTCTATTTTTGCCCTTAAAAAAAAAAGATTTGCCATTGATTCCTTATAATGTTTGTGTTTTGGTATCTTCCTTAAGGAACCTCTGAAAGTAAGTTGTTTTTTCGCCAAAGAGGTTTTCCATGCTGAATCAATGGATCCTAATAAATCAACAACACATACAAACAGGCCTACACATTCACTTAGTCTAATGGGTGTAAATGTGCTCACGTGTGCATTTCTCCACTCTCATCCAAATGACCTCAAAATCACTAATTCATTGTTAAGTGCATGAAGGCACACTTTCACCCTGTGGGCTTTTCAACTGTCACACACTGGGCAGTACTGTACCATCAGCCATGCACACCCACAGGGTCCCCTTCACTTTTTAGTTTCTAATTGTCATCTCATTGAAAAGTGTGACCTTGAGTTTTTTCTCTCCTTAATGGAGCCTGGGTAGGCTGAATAGAATGACAGTTGCTTGCAGCGAGAAGGAGGATAAAAGCAGGTCTGCTTTCACCCACATTCTCGACTCTGACAGTAGCAATAGGCCCCTGAGCTTCATTATTCCTTTGCTCTGTCTAAAGCTATACTGAGGGGGGGTTGAGCTGTACTGCATCTGTGATTCATTTCTCGTCTCTCCGGAAGGTAATCTCGGGATGGGCTCGGCTTGGTAGAGTTAGATTTAACTAAGTCTGACATGACCTTGACGGGCTGCAGAGCCTACAGGATACATAAAGTTTTTTTTCTCGTCAGCTCACCGAAGTCCCAAAGTGCTCTCTTAAGCACATTATCTGTAGAGATCTACAAGCAGAAGTGAACATGGCAGTCCCTGTCTGCATCTTTTTATCTGATAGATAGATATGATGGAACTAAAGCTCAGTATGAGGAAGGAATTCAACTGTGACTCTAAAAGCACACTGACACACTCATGGCGGAGAGGGGAGGTGGGGGTTGGAAAAATGAGAGCAGTGATGTTGGTGAAATGGCAAAATGGAGGTCAGTGGTATTAGAAAGAGAAGCCGAGAAAGAAGGAGGTTAAAAATACCATAAACCAATACCATAAAGTCATACCGTCTGTGAACGCCTCTGCAAATTGTTGGAATAGTAATTTGTGACAAGAAATTCCAGTGCATGTGCATTTTACTGAAGTGCAAAGTGAGCAGGATGGAGAGTGAAATAGAGGTCAGTGGAGTGAAAGGCAGAAAGAGGATAAAGAAAAATATGAATTTATATTGAGTCTGTCTGTGCTTTTATATCAGTAATACAGTCTTCTGCCATCTGGGAGTCTGCGCAGCACTTTCAAGGGAACTGAAAAGGGGGTAAGAAGCTAGTAAATGTGGATTTTTTCAGAATTGCAAGCTTGTCTCTGGTGGTATTAAGAACAGAGCGGAGCCTTTAACAAAGCATTAAAACATTCCTAATCTACACTTGTGTTAAGCTTGAAACTTTGCCACCGTGGCTTACTAAGTGATGGAGCTGTTTCCCATAGATGTAGAGGTTCTAGCAACTCAAACACATTGAGAAATTACTCAGAGCTTTAGTGAGATTTGAGCAGGCTCAACCCCACTATGCTGTCAAAAGCAGTTTAATGGTGAATAGAAAGCTTTAGAGTTGAAAGTGAGAGAGTTCACAGTAGCTGGAAGAAGCTCTGACCCACAAAAATGTGTGCTCTCGTGACGTTTTGCAGCACTGTATGACACAGACACTTACGTCTTATCATGAATTTACGCATGCATGCAATAGTTCTCCCTTTAAGCATTTAATATCACGCCTTGTTTGAGGTAAGGCTGGACAACTTGGTGTTTTCACTGCCACCCACTTGGCATGCAAGTGACACATTTGTCTGTATGTTTGTGGTTCTATTCAGACAGCTGTCCAGAGATCACCTGCAGTGACAGCAGGCAGGGGGTCATCATTGACCACACATAGGCCTATGGTGGCACCTGAGATAGCCTTCACCCCTCACCCTGTATCTAACCAGCCACACACACACATTGTCAAAATTTGTCACAAGCACTCCCAGGAGAGAAGTGTGCCCCTATGATTAACTGTTATTCACACATTATAGCAGGAACGAGGTTATTCTAATCAACTTCTGTCAGGCAGCAGGGCAGTGTAACCCCCCACCCTCGAGTCTCTGAGGGGTTGAGTGTAGCAGAGGATGTGGAAGCTAGGGGAAAGGTCAAAGCCCCGGTGTGCATTGTAATCAGATTGGACGAGGACCTTAATCAGTTTCACTGGTGGCCTGTATTCACTGGGACCAAACAGCACCGACCCTCCAGCTGAGGCACATAACCCTGGCCAGGAAAAGACCCGAACAACCAGCTGGCACAGCTTTGTTGTTAAAAACAAAGGATTACTCCAGCAATATGATGCGTATGCTGAATTCTCTATATGTTGTTTGATACACTATAGCTCACAACTAGAGTACCTGAATCTGTTAATGGTTTGAGTGATTCCAGCTCTTTTTTTTTTCTTCTTTTTTTCAATTTTGCTTTTATGCAGTGCTCTCTCAGAAGTCAGGCCCACTGTATAGAGGCTTAGTTGAAGGACTGATCTGCATTGTAAGCTCATGCATTATGCAGTAATGCACTAACATCAGGGCTTTCGCACAGCAAACACCCACGCTCATTAGACATGCGCAAAATCCTGATGAATATTAATGCATCTTCAAACGTCAGCCTCAATTCTGCATATAGTGATTAATTATTACACAGAGCAAACGAGGAACGTGTACTCTCATCAGATTTAGCAACATAATTTTTGTCAATGAATTCCTCTCGGTAAACCAAATGAGCAAGCGAATTTGAATTACAGAGAGAGTAACAAAAACAAATTGTTTTTGTTGTGTGATAATCTCCTGAGACAGATATTTTGCAGTGTGAATCACTGTTGTTTAACGAAACCACTAAAGCTGTATGACTGTGTAATACAGTACTCGGTTATGAATAGCGTGTGACTAGGAAATTGCCTTTCATGGGGTCTGACCCACGTCACTGTTGTGATCTTCTACTTATTAAAAGGTGTTTCTAACCAACCAGGATACTTGTCAGCACCAGCTTATTACCCACTCTATTTCAACAAGTAATATTACTGATGTGTATTCAGTCTCTAGGCAGTGGTGATATGAGAAAGCCTCACAGGACTGACTTCCTGTGGTTGCTGAAATGATCCGAGAGCAGAGATTGTGATGTGGCCACATGGTGACGGCATGAGAGGAAGGGGCCACCTGGCAAGTGATTGGGAGGCTAATTGTCCCTCTGGTATTAGGTTATCACTGCCAACTCTCCTGAGAGAAAGACACGCATCACACACACATACACCGCCACAAACGCGTACACATGCAAATCCAAACCATATTGTAGATATACAGAGACTTCTTTCTTCTCTGTCTCACACATGTAAATATACACTCATTCCGCACCCATTTAGGAGATAACAACACTAGCTATGTGTTTGCGTGCCTTTGGGTTGAGCTTTGGAGTTTTGCCAGCAGATTCACCTGCACACATACTCTAAAACTTACATGCTCGCTTGCACACATGAACATTCAAGGTCAGTTCAGACAGTGTTGAATACAGAGATCTATTTCAAGTGCTTTTCCCCCCTCTTTCTCACATTACGTACACACACATTACACGTTATTCAGTTCAAAAGGAGTGAGGCCCATCCTCCTTCAAAGAGTATCTCCTTACTTCAGAGCTTTTATCTATTTCTATAAGAGCCGCCGGAGATGTCCCCTGCCAATCAGTAGCGGTAGGAGGCCGGTGACGAACCTCGAGAGAAGAAGATGGAGGGTTAAACGGGGCAATAGACGAGGTAGTAAGGGACAGGTGGCTCAGTAGGGCTGATCGAATCCTTCTGGCTTTAAGTGTCAGTGTCTACAAGTGGGGGGAAGGGCAAGTCTCTTACCTCTGTAACCTTTATATAATTAATGATGCATTTCCTAAGCAGCAACAGGGAGCCAGCTGCACTTGCAATATATTTCAAACACTAGTGCTAGATTGCAACAACTGCTAAAAGAACATGATGCATTTTTGTGTGTCTGCTCGTCACCTGTAATAGCATATTGCTTCACTGCAACTCAAAATATTAGCACATATCAACGGAAAATGGTCAAAATTTCAAAATTCAGATTTTTCAGAATTCCAACTGAAATTCAGATTAATTTCATTTCCACAACTTCCTCAATTGTGCTGATTACCGTTTGTGAAAACCAAGCCTAATCTAACCCCTCTTTAGAAAATTAGACCATTACAGTGCTTCCCGGCCATTGAATGTCTGAGATAAGTAGGCTTCAGTCTCTTTGGTGCCATCAGAGCTGGCAGGCAGGCACACTTGTGGCCCACTGCCCAGAGAGACACCTGGCACCTCCCTCTAAAACATGAACAGGCAAACACACACACAAGAGAATGGCCAGATGGGAGCCCTTCCTTATCTAGCAAGATTTAGAGGCAATGTGACAAAAACGGTTACACTAAAGCAACAATATCCAATCAATGGCCGTCTCTCCCACACTCAATCAAACAAGATTGAAATGCTGGTCACTGACAGCTCTTCCTCTTCTCCCTCTGTCTATCTTATTTGGCCCTACAGAACAGCCAGATGGTGGAGCTCCAGAGGAATCATCTGCGTGACGACATTAAGGAATACAAGTTCCTGGAGGCACGTCTGCTGCAAGACTACACCGAGCTGGAGGAGGAGAACATCTCGCTGCAGAAGCAGGTCTCAATGCTCAAACAGAGCCAGGTGAGGACGGAGCAGTTGCAGTTTAAAATGAGGATACACTGGTATAAATTTGCCTTCACTGTTGGTGATCACCATGCAGTCTTCTTAGTTGCAGGCTTAGTTAAACTTGTAGTTTCAGGCCTCTCATCCAAGTACTTTTTTAAACACGCATGTACTGTATGCTGTCTTACAGCATCTTAGAAGCCCTACGGGCCCTCCACCTCCCAAACATCAGCTATCAGTCTCTCTCCTTCTTGTACTGATTAGACTGCCGAAAAAAATAATGAGCGCTTTAGTATTCAGATTTAATTATGATAATAAAAGCATCCTCTGACTCAGTAAAGAGATAAGTAGCAGCTGCCTTTGTTTTTTCAAATGCCTGGAGCTGCCGTCTAGTTGTAGAAGTGAAACTCTTTAACCACTATCATTTTTCAGACCAGAGATTCTAACACTTCACTGTAGAAAAAAAGACTTCCTAGGTTTAGTTAAATTAGTGGCTAAAAAAAGAAATCCTTTTTCCACATATGCAAACATGAAACAGCTGAATTTCCGAAGTTTTGCATTTGATGCTGGCATTTATGCTTAAGCTGTTAGCTCTCGCCATTTGCCCTTCTTAGATTATGTTTTCTATATTCATAATAGAGGGGGGAAAAAGCATCTTCTTCTTTTTAGACATCCAATGAAAAAAAGGTATTCCCAAATAAAGTTAACGTAAAACTAATTGAAAAGGGAAATTAAAAGGATATGTTCTTGATTAACATTATCTTGAATAATGTCAGTTTTTTTGATCCAGCTGGTTTGCCATACATGAACCAACATGACAGCTCATTTTCATTGGAGCTGAATCTATCCCAAAACTCATGAAAGGTGTTTCCTCTCCCAGGTTGAGTTTGAGGGTTTGAAGCATGAGATCCGTCGTCTAGAGGAGGACACTCAGTTCCTTAACAGCCAACTGGAAGATGCCATCCGGCTCAAAGAGATTGCTGAGCGTCAGCTAAGTGAGGCCTTGGAGACCATCAAGACTGAGCGTGAGCTGAAAGCTTCCCTGAGGAAAGAACTCTCCCACTACATGAGCATTGGAGACACTCTGTATAACAGGTAAAAAAAAAAAGAAGAAGAAAATAACACAAACAAGGTGCTCAGAGGCCTCAGCATAGACTGTAAAGAACACTAAATGACACACTGTTCCCATCTTTTTTCCTTCAGCCCTCTTAGCATTTCTCTGGATGGTCTCAAGTTCAGCGACGATGCCGCCACTGAACCTAACAACGACGAGGCTCTCCAGGGATATGAGAATGGCTTCACCAAACTGGCCAACGCCATCACCTACGACAACTGCATCTCCACAGCCAAGAAGGAAGAGCTGTTCCATCCTGCGCCCAGCCTCGTGGACGACCTGCTGAGCGAACTTAACATCTCAGAGATCCAGAAGCTTAAACAGCAGCTGATGCAGGTTTGTTCTTCACTACCATGGAAAACTGAAAACATTGTGTCATTGTTGTCTGTTGACAGTAAAATGTACCACTGTACAGAGAAGTAGCAATCGCTAAATTTGTTTGCCAATAGCAGATTGCTCTTTCGGATTGTCTTGTCAATGAGTTGTTTCAGCAGTATTTGTGTTCACTTTAGTTTTATTTAGTGAGAAAATCAATAGCAGGCTAATGAGAAAAAAACCAAGCATCTTGACTATTCTTCTAGAGTTTGATATGGGAATAACCTGTTAATATGTCTTTGATTATTTTCTCATGTCCGTATTATTTATCACACCTTAAAAATACGGTGTTATCCTCAAAACAAACTAGATTGACAGTAGTTACCACAAAATAACTCAAGCCAGCAGGGCTTTGTATTTAAGAAGGTTGGAGGTGTATCTGAAAGAGTGAGTCACCGGAGTGTTTGGGCCACATCCTGACCCAGGCAGCTGCAAGGATCTAAATCCCCTTCTAGCAAAGTTAATCCAGGGAGACACACACACACACCCTTCAGGCTCTGCTAGGCTGCGAGGCAGCGGGTGGTGGCACCGGTGGCACCGCCATCTGCTTGCTCATCACCCCATGAGTCCAAGGCCATGCCTGATTGGGCACCATAGTTACCAGAAAGTACTGGGAACCTGTGGATAATAATTGTTTTTAGGTTTAAGGGATTACGGGTTTTTTTTTTTTTTCTCCCCTCATCAAACACAAACAGTTGCTAGATTAATGTGTGAACTAGAAGTTACCTCAATGCTACCCTGCTATGGGCACCGTTCTGGTTCTTAACCTGACCGTTGTGGTGAATCCAGCGGACTGTGACAAAGCACTCTGTTTGATATGACCCAGCAGCATGTCGTACTGCCTGCCTCATTCCACAGATTCCACATAGGAATCAGAGCAGAGGAAACAAAAAGCTTCCTTTGCTCATTTAGCCATACTCCGTTCCTCTCCTATCTTTCCTCATTCTATTGATTAGGTACTCAATAATTGATCCTACACATCCGCTCATCGGATATCACCCTTTTAGTCTCTGGCAATCTATGACAACATCTAATGTGAAGTTGAATGATGTGTTACATGCACATAGGCCCTCTTCCAATTTTAAGTCATGTTGTAAATATGAATGCACTGACTTATTTAAATCATGTATGTGATATACAGTTTTGAGTAGAGTGCTTCTCGGCATGACAAGCCATCTTAACCAGATTTTCCATCTTTTTTTTAAATAAATCATTATAAAAAATGCTGCACTAATAAAAAAATGTATGCAGATGAGGAAGACTGAGACTTTTATATTATTTACAGATCATCTTCTGAAATAGCTCAGTGCTTATCAGCGCAACTGTGTGCATGTGTGTAAGACGACCCGACCAGGGTCTCTGCCAGCACTAAGCTGAATCCAGTCCAGCAAATTGTCAAGGTCATCCTGACTCTGATGCTGGGCTACTGGGCAATGAGCCTCGCATACCTTGGCAACGCAAGCCTGATAGTGGCTAGAGTTACCACATGACAGATAATCCACTGATTTAATATGATCTGTTTTCAAAGCGGGAATCATTTACATCATTAAGTTGCCAAGAAATCCAAATGTGAAATTACATGTGTGCAAGCTAAGTACTGTACTTGCATTACAGACATACAGTATGATGACCTTACACGTTGTTACTCATTGTGTCTGCCTTTCCCCTCAGATGGAGCGTGAGAAGGTCAACCTGCTGTCCACGCTGCAGGACTCCCAGAAACAGCTGGAACAGGCTAATGGTGCTCTGTCAGAGCATCAGGAGAAGGTCAACCGCCTCACAGAGAACCTCAACGCCATCCGAAAGCTCCAGGCCAGCAAGGAGCGCCAGTCTGCCTTGGACAATGAGAAAGAACGTGATAGTCATGAAGACGGAGACTACTACGAGGTGGACATCAATGGACCTGAGATTCTGGAGTGCAAGTACAAGGTACCTGTCTTCTTGTAGTTGATTCATTGTCTTACAATACATATTGTCTTTGTTGTACTCAGCTTTTATATGTTCTCACTCACTGATCTTGCTTCGTTAGGTTGCTGTGTCTGAGGCAGGAGAGCTGAAGGAGGAACTGAAGACTCTGAAGACAGAATACCAGGCCTGTCAGTCACGTTATGAAGACGAGCGCACCCGTCTGGAGAACGATGTCACAACGCTGGGAGCGAAGCTGGCAACTCTAGAGAAGACATGTCATTTAGAGAAAGAACAGAAAACTAAGCTAGAGAAGGAGCTGCGCAAGGTGAGATGGTGCTCTTTATATTGACATTCTGATAAATGGTTGATTTGGTGTTTTTATGAACTTTGTAGACAAATATTCCTAATTGAGAAATTTCTCTCTGTGTCCTCAGTTGAGCGATGTGGCAGGCGAGTCACAGGGTAGTTTGAGTGTGGCACAGGACGAGCTGGTCACCTTTAGTGAAGAACTGGCCACCCTCTACAACCACGTCTGCATGTGCAACAACGAGACACCCAACCGCGTCATGCTTGACTTCTACAAAGAGGGTAAGGGTGGACGAAGCAGCCCAGAGGGCCGTGGCCGCCGCTCTCCCATTTTGCTCACCAAGGGCCTCTTCCCGGAGCCTGGTAAGGCCGACCTAAGTGACGGAGTCCCTTCACCGGTCTCCTCTCTGCCTTCTCCCGTGTCTGACCACCGCCGCGAGCCCATGAACATCTACAATCTGGTGGCCATCATCAGAGATCAGATCAAGCACCTCCAGCTGGCTGTGGACCGCACCACAGAGCTGTCCCGTCAGAGGGTGGCCTCTCTGGAGCTCGGCACCGTTGCAGACAAGGACAAGGAGGCCTGCATGGAGGAGATCCTCAAACTGAAATCCCTGCTCAGCACCAAGAGGGAGCAGATTGCAACCCTGAGGACTGTCCTCAAGGCCAACAAGCAGGTCGGTTGATCAGTTTTGTCTTTTATACACTCAGAATGTCTGTTTAACTAACTGGGTATCATTCCCAAACATTTGTCAGTTTTCCTTGAAAGACAGAAACAGAAGAGAGAGGGTGTCAGCTATTTCAGGTCTATTCAGCTGCCGCAGCAAATGCATTGCAGACGAGATCTATATCAAACACTGGTAGAGGCAGCAGCCTTATGATGACAGCTGTCCAGACTTTCTGTGTGGTTAGAATGGGAGAACAGCCCTCTAAAGCACAAAGAACCATAACCCAGAGATACAGTGTGTATCCAGTTGCTCTGGTACCCCTTTAAAGTATGTGTGTGGTTACTCAGGGACTATTAGAGCACATACATGAAAGCCCCTCATAAACCACACACCTATGTTTTTTTAAACCAGCAACTAACAATAGCAACAACAAGCTACTGGACTACCTTAAAAACATAGGTCATATGGTCCATATTAACAGACTTCTTGTGACAGGAAATATACCCCTGACGCCTTCCAGCTGCTCTGACCCAAAATTGTTCTTGTCGTCCACCCACAGACAGCTGAAGTTGCTCTGGCCAATCTGAAGAGCAAGTATGAGAATGAAAAGGCCATGGTGACCGAGACCATGATGAAACTGAGGAATGAGCTCAAAGCCCTGAAGGAGGACGCTGCCACCTTTTCCTCTCTCCGAGCCATGTTCGCCACTCGGTAAGAGATATGCCACCTTCCGCTCACTTGTCCTGTCTTCCAAGAGTCGCATCGCACACAAAAGAATTTATCTGACGTACCATTTTAACCCCAAAAAATATTTGCCCACTCTATTTTTCCGGAGGAAATTGTCACATAGGCAGTCTTTGTTGTTAAGCCACACCGGTTGGCATGAATCCTAAACCGTGCTGTGCCATTGTAGATTAGCTTGGAGAGGCATCAGTAACACAGCAGATTTTGTGCTATACTTAAAACTACTCCACATGCACCATACGCAAAATAACCAGGTAAGCTAAAGATAAGATCATAATGTAATCCATGTTTACCACATGTTGGCTGTGTCTCTGTCTGTGGTATTATTGTAACATCACATGTTTAAAGAGGGTATTGTTTTGTTTTTGAGAATCACGGTCAGGAAGGGATATTGATACTGACTATAGAGAACAGAGGGTATCTAATCTGGGTATCATTTAAATATGTCACTTAAGTAGTGTTTTTGACCAGTGATCTAGTGTGTGTGAGTGTGTCAGATGGGCTGACACACACACTCACTAATCTTTTCTGATTCCGAAGAGAAGCCGGTCAAAGGTTCTCTGCATAATCCCACCTCATCTTCGTCTGGATTACACATTCAACCCTCAACACATAGTAGATTTAAGTGCTCATACACTGCCTGTTTGTGTTTTTATTTCTGTGTGTGTGCATGCATATCGAAGAAGGTGAGAAAATGAGTGCTAGTGCTCTTCTATGCTATGAGAAAATGAGCGCTAGTGCTCTACTTAGATGTGATTATAGGGATTCCACGGTGGAAGCGCAACTCACTCATTGAGTTGCTTTTCCTCTCTGTGAATTTCTTTAAGATTTTATGCCCACTTGTCCCTTAAATATCAGCTCTGGTCCAGATGGCAGCGCTGAGATGCTGAGACAGTCATTCCTTCTGCATTTAAGACTCCTCTGCAATCCACAGCAAAGCTCAAGCTGTGAAGAGGGAGGGGAGGTAGAAGAGGAGGGTGGGGATAGACAGTATTACAGAATGAAGGTTACAGAGGCTGTGGGGAATGTGTGGGCAGCTCAGCGCCCCTCATCTTACCCATACAGTAATTCAATACCTATCCCTGAAGTGCTTGTTGAAGTAACTCCATATACCTGCAGTGCCTAATCAATTAGTAACAGGAGGAAAACTCCTGTCTGCAAATGTAAGAGTGTGTGGTGTCATGGGTTTTTGGCGCACTGCAGAGCCAGATGGTTAGAGGATGTAAGTGTAATGTTAAACAAAGGCAACCAGGGCTAAGAGAGAACTAGATCATAGTAATGGCATTATTTTTTACCCCTCAGGGGTCCATGAGTTGTGTCACTTGTCACTGTTATGGTAGTGCAGGGAAGGTGTGAGATTATATTTGCTGTGAAGAAGCAGAGCCATTATGAAGAGTCTGTTTCTTTAAGCCTTTTAGGCTTAGGGTATCGACAGCACATTACAGCTTGCTGTTTACCACCTGCATCAACGCATGTGTTTTTCTCCTCGTGCACAAAGAACCTCCCCTGATGATGATGCTCCTGAGGCTCCAACCCAAGTAGTCTGTCACTGTTCTGGTGCCTATGCATGAATTATGCTGTCTGTTTATAGGATTCATGTATTGGTATGTAAATTCTGTCCTATACGGCACAGAGTTGGGTCAGGGTACTCTTTGAGAGGCTGGGGGACTCGCCTGAGTAAGGTTTCCCACACTCCCCCCACCTTTGTATCCCCGTCCCCCCTTCCGTCCTTCCTCACCGCCAAACACCCGGTTCTCCAGTCATTTGGAAAAGAAAGAGAGGAAGGGGCCAGGCTTTCAGTTAAAGCCCACTACAGGAGCCTAATTTGACAGTATTCTGTTTTTTTTTTTCATGGTAATTACCACTCTGACAAAGTCTGTAAAGGTGGATTTCTGGGACATGGAGAACTCTCAGATACAAATGTGTGGTCTTTGACAAAGGGAAAGAAAGATGGAGTGGAATTAAAAGAATGTTTAGGTTTTTGTGGGATCCTTTGTCTGATCTTGTGCTGCACTCTGTGCTTCCCATAGATTAGAGTTACTTGAAAGTGTATTTCGTTCTGTGAGAATTTCCTGAGAGAAACACAGGATTGAATGTTTTTCAAGTCTGTGTGAGTGTGTGTACGTGCTTCTCTTTTTTTCTTTGTGTATGTGTGTGCCTCTCCAGCTGCAGTCTCTGGTGTCATGTTAACAGTAAGCTCCTGCCTCTGACATTCCTAAGACATGCCTCGACATGCTCTCAGCTCCTGCTCATACTGATCAAAAGTCAAACCATTAGCCCAAGTCACATTTTCTCCTCAAACTTACACCCTCAATCATCCTGCTGTTCTGTTGTTAGTCATATTCATTCTGTTCTTGCCTCCTCCTCCTCCTCCCTGCTCTCTCTATGATCCCACCATGACCAATCAAGCTCCAGACAAGACCACAGCTGAGGAGGTTGTTGTGTTTCTGTGCTTTGGAGGCATTATTAATTGTGATGTTGTTGATTGTGATTGTGTTTTGCAATAGTTGAGGTTTCCCTATGCAATCATGAATGCCATTGGCTGCTGTTAAAGATCACAGCAAAATGCAGATAAAGTGCTTGTTTGTCAATGTTGTGACTATGATGACTGTTCATCCTCAAAAGGCCAGCAGCAGCCTCCCGGCCCCCCTCAGCTATTGTGCCTCCAGACTCCATCAGCGGGCCAAAAAGGCTCCTATTGTATCCCTCCAGTCCCCTAGAATAGACTCTTCTGTTTTTTTCCCGGGAAAAACGTACGCCCTCTCACCCCCCATACAAGAGTGACTGAACCGTCTGAAGGCACACCAGCCCCCCCCTCCCACCTCCCAGGTCGTCCCCCCATCTCATACTGGGTTTAATGAAGCAACACTGATCCCTATTGTCTGTGTGTGTGTCCCACTGGGAATCAAACTGCATACACAAGAGGGGAGGGTATGGTTTATGTTTGTATGGTGGTCTGGCAAGGCCAGAGTTCATGTAGTATACAACCATGTGAAGCACCACACACAGCAACAACATCTGCGGTTACTGATATCTCAGATTTTGCCTTCAAGACTTAAAGGTCCAGTGTGTAATAATAAGGGTGATCTATTGGCAGAACTGGAATATAATATTCATAGGTATGTTTTCATCAGCATTTGATCACCTGAAAATGAAAGAAAGAATTTTGTTTTTGTTACCTTCAGAATAGTAGCCCAAAACACTACAACCAAACACTGGCTTTAGACAGAGCCTTTCACACCTTTCAAAGTTTCACCTTAGTTTCTCCTACATGCTAGGAACGTGAGGATTAGGCAAGGGGTTTGTAATCTGTAACTACGCCAGTAAATCCTACACACTGATTTAAAACAAGAAAATAATTTACATGTAGGGTTTAGACAATTCAGTTCTTCTCTACAGACAAGACGAGGCTTGCCAAGGGTAAGGACAACTAGGACAACTAATACTTTATCTTCTTTTTTCTTTTTTTTTTCTTTTTTTAAATTTATTTATGTTGGAAATGGATCAAGAATCTCTTCCAACTGGCACTTTTTCTTCCTTTTTTTTCCCAGAAAATAATTTAGGCCTAGCAAACAAAGGCGGGGTTTTTTTTTTCTTAACAGTGCAGCAGTTCACACAACCACTAATCACTGACCAAACAATAACATTAGTTCTCACATGCCTGCTGGGAAAATGACAGTTATAGCTTGCAGACATTGTTATATAACAAATGAACAACATATGACATAAGTAAAATTTCTGCATTTTTGTGGCTGGAAGTCTAAAAGAGAGTGGCTTGTCACCACAGGTTGGGGCGTTTCCAAATGAAAGTAAATACTTTTATACCAGAAAGAAAAAAGGGGAGTAGGGTGAGGCTACCTGCCAGTTAAATTATGCCCGAGCGGTTTTAGTGTGGCATCGTTGAAGGATAGGCGCTGCTTACTAACATAACCGACCCCTCCCTTGATAGAGGCGTGTCAGTCATTACTGGAGAATGTCACTTAGATTGCTTTGTCAGCAACACAGATAGTAGGGATGACCAAGATGGAGAGAGAGAAAGTGACTGATGCAAGCAGACAGATGGAGACAGCAGCAAGGAAGCAACAAAAAAAAAAGGCTTGAGAGGCAAGATAAGAGCCAGGAGAGAGGACATGATTGAAAGGGAGGGGAATGCGATAGCAAGGTAATAAAAAGTGGTAAAAAAGGTTTGGTGAAGGAGAAAAGCATGAAAATGAAAGGGGACACAACGCCAGTGGAGATATGAACCCCCCTCCTCAAAATCCCTTTTGGATGACCCAGTTATTATACCTGTCCAGCCTTTAGACATAATACACACACACATACACACACACAAGGGCACAGGGAGACAGGTGATAATGCCGCAGTGCAGCACCCAGTGATATTGAGCAGCAGGTAGACAGAGTCATCATATGCGATGGGAGATGGAAAAGACAGATGGAAGCGATGCAGTGAACACACTCCAACTGGAAAAGTGGAGATCATGTGTGAAGAGCTACAGCTCGGAGCAATGAACCATATTTCGCTCATCCCCATCTTAATTTTTCTCCTCTCTATGACTCCCCTGCTCAGCCTGTTCCTCAGGTGACGCAGAAAGGATCTCCTCAGTGACCCCTAGGTTAATGCTTTCATCCTTTGTTTATGTGATCTATTCTTAACTTCACTGCTCATACACTCCTCATATTATGCGGAGCAGCTTAAAGCCACGCTCAGATGTATCACCTGTTCATGAACGGTATTCATACCCTGTAGCAGCAGACATATTAACCCAAAAGACAAGTACTGAAGTTACTTTTCAAGGAGGGCAGGATGAAGTTTACTATGTTTAATGCATTACCAAGTGATGGCAGCTGTGTGCAGATTGTCACTGTATCTTGTCAAATATCTGCTGAAATTACTTAAAATGAGAATATTTTAGTTTGTGACGTTTGGTGGAGGGGAAAAAATGAAGGTTGAAATCATAAGATAATAATGCAGGAGCACTGACAGGCCTGTCAGGTCTGTACTGCATGGATCATTGGCTCCATCTGGTGGTGGAAAAAAAACAGCACAACCATTCAGTTTCAGTTGTTTTAGTCTACATATACCTGCTGGCTTCAGTATCTCAAGTGTGTAGCTTTGGTTTGCATGTCATATATGCAGTTGTGCAATGTTTTTAATGTGAACATAACAAAAAGCAAGGGATGTGCTCCATTGAGGCTATTTGGTATTATTGGAACTGTCAGTGCCCCCTTGTGGTAAGACACAAGAAAGTATTGATGGTGTACAAACATGTTGCTAATATTCCTCCAGTTTGAAGTGAACAAACATGGCCATGACTTGACAGTTTTCTCTCTCTTTGTCTGTCTTGCAGTTGCGACGAGTATGTCACTCAGCTGGATGAAATGCAGAGGCAGCTGGCTGCAGCAGAGGATGAGAAGAAGACCCTTAACTCCCTGCTGCGTATGGCTATCCAGCAGAAACTGGCCCTGACTCAGCGTCTGGAAGACCTGGAGTTCGACCACGAGCAGACCCGCCGGGGAGGCAGTGGCCGGGCCAAGACCCGCAGCAAGGCCGCCACCGGCACCGCCAACAACCCCCACGTAAGTCAGAGTCTGACCTGCTCTGGCTCCGGCCGACCAGAGCCCAACAATGCCATGCCCAATGGCATTCTGGGAGGCCCTGTGGTCTTTTGCAGCGAGAAGTACAAGATCTACTGCGACTGAGGCGGCTGAGAAGTGCGCAAGGGACTGCTGTGTACAGAGGGGAGGGGTACCTATGGGCCAAACCCTCCCTGCCTTAGTGTTAAAGAGCCCCACTTGCTCGCTTAGCTCCCTGGCCAGCCTGCGCTCCTCTAGGGACTGCTGTGTGACTAACCAGCTGCTCGTGTGTGCTAGTGTAAACGCTTAGGGGAATGCAGGTGTATGTACATTGTGCACTAGACGTTTGGACTGTAGTAGACATATATGGCATGTGGATTATAGGGCCCCAGTTATGTTGGGGGTTATGTGGATATTATGGAGTGTCTATTCTTTCCGCTGTCATGGTGCTGTACGTATGATGTAAAAGGTGGCAGCTTTTGTGCTTTTTTGTTCTGGCCCCCTGAGTGTATTACCTGGTAACAGTAACACATTGTGGGGGTGAGGACTTGTAAAAGAGGATGTCAACCTGACGGTCTTGTGACTAAATATGACATCCTCTGGTCTTCGGCTCGTCTGTCGGCATTGGTGCTCCTTTAAAAAAAAGCCCCCTTTCTCCCCTCTTTGTCCTGGTCCCCCAGGACTGACCTGTGTCCAGCAGCCCACTGTATAATCAGGTCACTCTTTAAGAAAAAGGAAAATGAAGACAAAGGAACTTTTGAAGAAGGAACTAAAATATGCAATCTCCCCCTGCTTTCTTGCTAGGGGAGCACAGTATGATTCTTTATATACAGAAATTCAAAAAGTGGGTTGGCTGCTGGTTTGATGATGGAATTGTTTGGGCAGAAAAGGAGCACCTGTGACCACAGGTGTTTATTTCAGGATAATGTATAAGCTGTGATGCTAGCACACCAATACAATAGGGTCAGTAGAATCGCATGGCTTCGCAGCTGAAAACGCTTATGAGCTTTTTTAACTGTTTTTCTGTTGTCAGGTGTGTGGTACAAGACAAACTCATGTATTGCAGGGCTCTACATTGTAAAAAGAGGAGTTATTTGGTGTCTGGTGAAATACAGGAGGGCTATTCCATGTGACCCATTATGTTGCGATGGATTCTTTCAGAGCCATATTATAAGAGAGAAAGAAAGTTTGACAAATCGATCTCCACACCGAAATTAAGTGCACTTCAGCATAGGTGCCTCAGGTTCCTACTTCTGTTAAAATGGATATAATGATTACTGTGAACAGAGATACAATATAGTTTTGATCAAAGATGATTTTTTAAATATGGAGCAAATCCTAGAAGAGCACAAATCAAAAAGGCATCCACATGTGGATCATGAATCTGCAAACGAAACCAACCGACCACTCGGCAAAAGTGCCTGTCGACCCAAACACTTGATATATTTATCTGTTGATGTAAAGCCCTGTCCTTGTGTCTCAACTTCTCTCCTTCTCTCCTTCTCTCCTTCTCTCCCTCATGCTCGGTCTCCCTTCTCTATTTTTGGGAGATCGCTCAGAGCTCTCAAGTCATTTCTGTGTGGTTATGTGGCTGAAAACTCTTTCCTCATGTCTCTAATCTGTGTCTTGTCGCTCGGTCGCCATAACGACCTTCTCTCTTTTAGATTGTCAGCAGCTTGCTCCCCCAGCATCACCACTCACCCTTTAACTAGAATGAGGAATTGTGGGGAAAATTGCCCTCTGAATATTTTTGTCAGGTAATGTCCTCACGTACATTGTGTTCCCGATATTTGCCTGTGTGTGAATACGAGCGTGGGCCCTCATGTTTGTATTATGTTCTTACCTTTTGCAAATGGAGGGTCTCTGGTTTCTTTTGTTTTCTTTGTTCTTTGGTGTGTGAGGACAAAGCGACGTACTGTTTTTAGTATCCACAATAGCTTTAACCCCTCTGCAAGCTAGCATTACGCAAATAGGAAAAATATAAGTGGGGCTTGTGTTTAATAAATCCATGTACTGCTTGTGGATCATAGACATATTAGCTTTATGATGCTAAAAGCAGGGTTGATATGAGGAAATCCTGCAAGGTTCATCAAATGATGCGTTTTATACTACCACTAAGCTATATATTAAACTCTATATTCTTAATATGATCATGTTCAGGTTATAATCTTGCAGGAACCTACTACAGTATTTCTTCCTCTCAAATATAAAGAGAGGGAGCTTAATTATTCCTCTGAGAATGGAACAACGTCAGCGGTCAACCCTGCTTGAGTATGCATCTATAAGCCACAGCACACAGCATGGAGACAAGACTATCGTACACATTAGGGAAAAAGAAGAAAAAAAACAACCTCCGTAGAGGTCAATCACTCTTAAGTTTGAGATTCACTTAACTTACAAGTGTGATATATTCTGTTTCTATCAGTTTGCGCTGACTGAGAAAAGGTTTGGGGAGTAGAGGAGGGAGAACTACTCCTCATGTTGTAAACCAGCTCCTGAGAGAGGAGTTAAGAAAGCCAGACATGCTGATGAAGAAAGCCAGATGTCTGGCTGAGAGTTGACTCTGATACTGTGGAGAAATGAGTCCAGGGGTTTCCTGAGGGAGAAACTCCTGGTAAATTTTGGAGGAAAAATAAAGAAAAACTGAAGACTGGTTGCTCAATCAACCAGAAGACATTGATTCAAATTAGTCGAGCCCCTAACCCTTCCCCTTGTATAGGCTCTGTGGAATCTAAGAGCAGTAGATAGATACCCACGATGTGACTAGAACCCCCTCTCTCTCGATAGAGGATTTCCCACTTCGCTCCATCTAGTTTGAAATCAATGTCTGGCTTATCTGGTGTCAACAGCATGCCACCTAAACAGCTCCTCCTACCTCTGCTTGCAGGCTCCTCCCACTTCACATTTAAGTTTTACTACCCATGAACCATCTAGTTTCGGATTTATAATAAGCCTGCATGTCTAAAACATAACCCATTTGTCATTAACTTGCATGGCATATGAGAAACACCCCTCTCCTTTGACCTGGGTGGTGGGATATGGCTTCAACTCTGTCTTATGAATGAACGGTCATGGTACTTGTGAGTCTTTGGCTTCCTAACTGCACCCGCAGGATGATTTGTGGTGAATGTGCATTCACATCAGCTTCCTCAGAGACATATTGATGATGTCAATATGACATAAAAGCTCCTGACATAACATTGGCTTCCTCATGGGCTCCTAACATGGCTTCTGTTGCTTTGACTAACTACAGCCGACCTTTGCTTTGTCTGTGTGGACTCAGCTGCTGACCATGTTAACAGTCACTCTAAATTGACAAATAATGCTAATGCTGATCATATGTTTGTTTCTTCATTTTGCAGTAATTACAGTAGTTCTGCGCGGATGACGAAGTACCATCTCAAGGTCCATTCTCACTGCTGATTGAGTTTCGCCGAAAAGAGTTAGCGCTTATAGGCTATTTGGACTTGAAGACAAACAAAAAAAAAAGCAAAATGCTAAATGCAAACACTGATTTCCAGTCAAATCAACTGACCTACTTCATTCCTACTACTAATAAAACGTGACGTCCGTCGGAGTGACAGTCATATTTGCGTGCTGCTGCTGCTGGAAGCCAATTTCTCACAGGTCCAATGAACTGATTGAAATTCTGACCAGAGTTTGTGATTGGCTAACCCTCCAATGATAAGCCAGGGGACATGGGGTTGTTTCTCAGTGTAAATCAACAAGCTATTTTGTCTGGTTTCATCTTTCATTCTTTTTCGGGGGGTTTATTGTTTTTGTTATTCTGTGCACTTTCATTATATAGGATTATAACAGACTATTATTAACCTATAGGAAAGCGTGGTAGTATTATGGTTTGTGAGTAATTCAGTATAGGTTATAAGACTATAGGAATATACGTCCTCCTGAATCATCTGAACTTAAATAACAGAAACTATTTACTCTCCACAAACCACAAACCTACTATTACGACTTAATCCTCGAGATTTTATCCATCAAATAATCATTTTTAAATTGTTTTGTTACATCATATGTTATGCTGTTGGTTTTATTTTATGTTTGTTCGACTGCCATGTTCTATACAAAAAATCCAGGGTGATCAAATTCTGGGGTTTTTTCATGTATTTATTATTCCTAGGAATAGTTCAAAATAACAAGATGAAACTTGACAACGCTCTGACTCAATTAGGTAAGTTGTGTTTTGGGAAAAATTTGAGTGATGTGATATGCTTTTCCTAGCTTCTTACCGAGGGCGTTCAAATGAAGCGGGATCACTGACTTTCAGAATTCTCTGCAAGTGCAACAATTAAATTCCAAATTGGAATTGTTTCATTCTCTCTTCGTTTATCGTGCCAAATCTTGGTACACCGTTTAGGTTGAAAAGAATCAAGACTGGGAAATAAGACAAGCCGTCACTGAGGAAGACGTAGTTCGGGCCATGGCTCTCCAATGCGAGTGCCGGGGTTTTGTTTTTTGGTTTGTTTAGTTCTTTGTTTCTGACCAGTAGTGCCTTTCATTGTTTCAAGGGAGAATCTTAGACTAGTATTTTATGTTTTCCTTTTTTATATATATATTTAGGTGAGGACTTTGGGTTCAAAATGACTGTGAGCAGCAATAAATGCAAAGGGACTTTTCCCCTGTCTGCATGAGTGAGATAATAGTTTTAAAATTAGCTCAATAAAACTGAAATTGTATTGAATTCTGCAGGTCAGTGATCTATTCAATAAATTCAGGGGTATTAAGAAAAGGTTGTTTTTTATCAAACTTTGGGAACCAAAAGAAATCCCTTTGGCCTCCTATTATTGAACAAAATGCTCCAAGCATCCGTAATGTGTTGGGGTAGATCAGTGTACTATTGGAAACATCTACGTATCTCTAGCATTGTTTGGTGAAGGTAATGTGATATCAATAGTATTGTTGAAAAAAATGTGCAGAGAGCGCATTTTATCTCTTTCTTTTTGTCCAATTTGAGTTTTGTTTTTTATTCTTGAATCCTTTTTTTTACATCATCTTTGAGCATTAAGTTTTCAGGAAACAGAAAACAAATTAAGCATCAACAAGCTTGAATAGTGCCATTATAGCCAATGCTTGTTTGTTGAGGCGTTAAAGTTACCAATATGGATGAGAAGCTAAAAAAAATAAAAGTGCAATTCAGATACTGTTTTACATTTTGAAAAAAGAAAAAGTTTTCTGTTTGCTGGAAGCGATAGCATTGTGATAATAAAATTAGCTGTGCAAACTTTATATTGTCATATTGTGTTTCAGTATTGATCCATAATGAGAATTTGATATCTTTATATGAAATAACAAATTCACCTGTATGTTGGTATTTATTTGAATTGTCATGCAGTACTGTATTCTTATCAATAATGTGCATTATGATTAGTGGCATATTGATTACAGCTAAATGTCATATGCATGTTTCTCAGTCATGGGACCTTTACACAGAATTGAAAACAAACATGTAAACCTTTGCCAGGGTGTTACAAAATATGGAGAAAAAAAAGAAAAGGAAAAGACGAGCGTTAAGTCTAATGTATTACTGCTGAACTAATCCTATGAAAGTGTTTTTGTTTGTTTTCTAGTAGAGAAGATGGTATGTCTGTGTAAAGGTAGTCATACTGGCTAAAATCAATAAATGTGACTTAAGTTCCAAGGCGTCTGAGTGTTGTTATTTATAGCTCCTCCAGAGCAGCAACAGCAACAGATGAAGGGTTAACCAGTGAAGTATATGGTCTGCAGCCCTTGTGTCTCCTCAGAGTGTTCCCAGCTGGAAGCCAGGGGCAGGGGGGACTTCCCAGCTGTCTGAGCAGCTCCAGGACATGATCACATTTCACACAATGCACAAAAACACTTCCACCACCTACTCTCTCCCCACCCCCCTATCCAACCCTTCTCTCTCTCTCTCTCGCTCTCGCTCTCTCTCTCCCTCTTTTCCCTGTCTTCTCTCTGCTGTCTCGCTTAAACCTCGCTCCTCCCTCTCCCTCCTCGGCCTTTCTCCGTTTCCCATTTCTTTTCCTCTCCTCCCCTCTCCATGCCTTCTGGAGATACACCCACGCACAAAGCCAGTCTCTTTTGACCTTGCGTGCACCCACCACTTCCTGTCCAGGCTCTGCAGGGAACAACATCACAGTACAGCGTGTAGGCCGGAGCTCTGCCCAATTAATGCTACAGTTTTTTATTGCAGTCATTTAAAATGGAGGTTAAATGCTGTTGGGCCAACCCATACTTGAAGTACTGTTTACTCAAGAGCCCAAAGTGATTTATTTGACCTCGTGTTTATCATTATAAATCATCTAAGCTTTTTAATGTTGGATGAATTCTTGCACAAATGATATAATATTGTGGAATGTGCCAGTCCAAATTGGTAATCCACAAATATAAAACCTATGAGGGTTTTAGCCTTTTAAAAAAAATGAAAATATGGACCTTTGTCATTTTGACATAAAATAGTTATCTCAGGTGTTACCAATGATAGTAATTAGGATGGATTCCATCCATTTAGTGTAGTAGAGCATCATTGGTAACACCTGGGATTACCCTACTATTTCATGTCAAAAGGGTCTATTATTAGAATATCCTAATAAGGTACTGTTGCATGAAATCAGTGGTTCCCAGCTTTTTTGCTTGATGTACCACTACTACAGGTGAGATTAAGTACCCCTTCTTTAATACGACCTTCTTTTAAATAAAGTCTGCATTCACACTACTTTTTTATTCTATTTATTTTTTCTAATAAGCTGCACTACTCTGCAGTTTCCCCACGTACCCCCTGGCAACTGCAGAGGTACACCTTGGTGTGCACATACTCCTGGTTGGGAAACTACTGATATTACAAATATTACTCAAACAAAAATGAGCTGACTTGTTCTGAAACCTACAAACATTGACTCCAAAGACTACTCCTGCAGCATAATTCCATACCATAAAAGGGCAAGTGTGTCATTCTGACCTAAAGCATTTGAACTGATGGATACTACCTTTGCCATAATGCAGCAGCAGTGGGTCAGCAGGTTTATTTTTTTTAATAAAAAGTCCCTTCAGAGCCACAGAAGACACAGGCTGACTATAGGACTCCTCAGGATAGGTAAACTGTAAACTGGATCATTTAAGCGCCCCTTTTTAAGTGAATGCACAATTAATTATTTTAGAATATGCTCACAAACATACATAAATAGCATTTAAGTTATGAGAAAATTTGTACTCTTCTACAACAGCTCCTACTCCTCTCAGAATTAAAATAACCTGGGATTAATTACATTAATTATCATGACACCCACACTCCGCTGTGATTTAGTACAGCGAAACCAGTTGCTGCCATTCACCATATGCCTTACTGATTGGATTTGAATGGCAGAGTATTAATGAGAGCCAGAGGGAAAAGGTCATTTCACTGACATCACTGTAGTGACAGTGGACCCTTTGTTGGTGCCAGTCTTCTCTTATATCCTCCCCACCCAGGGCTCGACTGGCAGAGGAAATATGGGTCAGTGGGATTCATTTCATGGCATCAGTCCTGCTCTATTAATATACAGGTGCTGTGATTATACTCTGGGTGGAGGAGGATTCATACAGCAAAGCAGCTGTTTCAAATCTCAGCTGATGCATTATTAAATTTCACCACATGGGGTCCCTATAATACAGTTGTTGACGTCTTCATGGGCAGCTTAAGTCCTTAAAAGTTCCTTAAAGGTCTTGCACTGGCCTCAAAAGAGAGAAAGAAGCTTCTTTATGTGTATCAGTCAGGGCTGTCATGTGATGAATCCATGAGGCGCCGAAAGGGACAGAGAGCCGTAATCAGCTGATCTGGAAAAGCAGCACCAATGAACAACACCACACATGTCTCACATGGATTTTTGCTTCAAACACTCACAGAGACACACACTTTTTTCTCTACTGGAGGAGAAGTAATACAACAGAGGATGTTAACAAATGTATGACCTGTGGAGTGTGAGCTCAGCCTTATGATGCATTAAAACATTCCTTAGTCCTGACATTGGGCGCAGGGTGTGAGTGTCCTCCCATCTGTGACTCATGTATTATCTCCATACACAAAACTGTTGGTGTGGTCTCAGAATGCCAGGTTATCGTCTATGACAAATAACATCTGAAGTGTTGATTCAATCAGTATGAGGCTTTAATTTGCACCTGAAAAGGAGGGAACGAATATAGACTGGCACCCTAGTCTAGAGTGTGATTAGTCGTATGATTGGGGCATTTACACTGTGAGGGTTTCAGATAAGTGTAAAAAGCTCTATGTAGCTCATCTCACACTTCTCCCTGTCAACTTTCGCACCTATCCTGCAGCTTGGCTGCTCATCTGCCACTTTCCTAATTGTCTTTTTTCATATATCTCACTCTGTCCTCACCTTCCCCCCTCTCCATTTAATTCCCTCCCCCTCTCTCTTCCCTCCTACTGCCCCTTTCTGTGAATGCTGTTGTTTCACTCTGCTCTGTGGTTATGAGTGGAGGAGCCCCGGGGAAGCGGAGGAGAGGATGTATCCCAGGGGGCTGTTTGGTGTTCTGCTTTCTGTTGACCAGCATGTCCCAGACAGGCTGACAAGCAGCTCCATGCACTTGGAGGCACTAACAGGGGCATAGGCCCCTGGTCTATTCAAAACATGAGTTCAGTCATCCACAAAACACTTTTTTTCAGACTCTGCACTGACATGTTGAGAATGATTCTCTAAAGCAAAACAGAAAAAGGTTCAAGCAAAAGGAGGAATGTGTTTTCTATTCTTGCATTTGCTTGTGTCTGCAAAAATGATAGTCGTGTTTTGAAAACTTTGTGATTGGTGTGCAGCCAGTGAGTCAGTATAAATGTGGGAAGAGGTGATATATAGATACAGCTTATTAGAGAGGAGTACAGGTCAATGAAGTGGCAAGCAGCCAGACAGGGAGCCATTATCATTAGAGACCCTGCTGTTGTCTGTGTTGATCTGAGGCAGATGAAACGCGTGCAGCAACAGCGGCAGCCACAAAAGGGGTTAATGATGCGTAGCTGAGTCGACACGGGTTTAAAAAAGATGGGGGGTGCTGCACAAACAGACAGACACAGAGAGGAGGGTTGGCGGCCACACAGTCATGCTGCTGAAGACTAGTTGAAAACAGTCACATCATTCAGGAAATACATTGATATACAGATTAAGCAGTGGTGGAAAAAGTACCAAGAAAATAGTCTTTAGTCATTGCAATTAAAAGTTCTGCATTCAAAACCTTTCATATCGTATCATCAGCTTAATTTACTTAATGTACCATTAAAAAGATTACTAATTCCACAAATAAACAGGCCCTGTGACTGATATATTATTATGTGCACTATTTAATACTGTTGCTGATCAGTTACTGATGCATCAGTGCATAACCAGCTTCTTACTGTTGCTGCTGGTTGAAGAAGAGCTAGTCAAGTAGTTTAGTCCAATGGTTCCCAACCTAGGAATTAGGCCCCGTCCAGAGGGTCACAAGATAAATCAGAGGTGTCATGAGATGATTAATGAGTGTTGTAAGAAAAAACAAAAAGCGGTCACACTAATTTCTATTCACCTTGGGGACTTTTTTCTTATCCCTCTGTTTTTGGTGAAATATTGGCTAATTTTAGATCTTTTGGCCTCAAACTGTTATTTAAATGAAACCTGTGCAAACAACTCAGACCACTGAAAGATGACAAGGGGCCCCAGCTAGACATTTTATAAGGGGTAACAAACCAAAACGATTGGGAACCACTGGTTTAATCTTAACAATGCATTGCATTTTAAATGCTTAATATGTTTTTTACGTAAAATGTTAACCTGAAAAGTAACTAGTGACTATATCTGTCGCATAAATGTAGCAGAGTAGAAGTATAAAGTAGCATAAAAGGAAAAAAGGTTCAAGATTACTTTATTTATACCATAGGTAGATTTTGTACTCAAATAAAGTAGTCAAAACTGTACTGAAGTACTACATGAAATGTGCCTGCCACCTCTGCAGACAGCTGACTGACAGCTGACCTTTAGTGGCCACAGAATGTGAAGAACTACACTGCTTTCGAAGAATAATATAACCAAATACTCTCAGACTTTGAACTCTGGATAACAGGACATATAGCAACAGAAACTACATTTTATGAGTCTAACGATCTGCAAATTTAAGATTTGTTTTCTCCTTCTGTCAGTTCCTTATTACTGTGTGCAATGATTTACAGAGGCAGCTGACAGCATCCATTCAGCTGGCTGGAAACTCAAGATAATCAATTAAAAGATCAGGATAAAGCCTGGGCAGTGACATGGAAATGCAGTGCCAGTTAGTGTTTCTGTTCCAGGCCCTTTTTTTCCACACTAATAGGCAGCTGTGGAGTTTTTCAAAGCAGAGCTATCTCTTGAAATAGACCTCATCCTTTTCATGACTTCACGTGACAACCCATGTCATGCCTCTGTGCCGATGGGCATATCATGGCTGAAAATACAACGTCACTTAAAGATAGAAAAACTGCAGTTTAGAAAAAAAGAGTGAGCGGTTTAGAAACTGCTTGAGAGTCGAGTGCCGAGGCAAATGATAAAATGAACTTGATTTTTGTTTCTTTTTCCAGTGCTAATCTTTCATTCTAACATTTACACTCAATGAATGGGCCTGTCGTGCGCGCGCGTCGCACCGGGAGCGCGCATTATCTTTTTTTCC